ATCCTTGGTCAAGCCCCTCTGGCGTGCTGTCTGCCTATTGGGCTTGTCCAGACTACTACTGTCCTTCTTTGCTCTCTCCTCCTGAGCTAGCATTGGCAAACTGCTGCCTCTCATCTGCTTTTGCTCACCTTAAAATCTACCTGGCAATTAAAAGCAATTAGCACGGCCAGTGGAGTGATCCACTATGGACAACAGAGGGAAGGTGAGATGGCGTCCTGGAGCTCAGACAGGAGCAGTGGTCTGCTGAAAACTTAGAGGGAGCAACCCAGTGTGGCATTGTCTAACTTACCAGTCAAATGTAATACGATAAAAAATAACTCTGCTAATGTTAGCTTTCCTGTGTTCCTGTGCTTTCCTTTTCCTGTTTGTCCAGCAGGTTGCTGCACAGAGGAAAGTACTGCAACCTCCATGGGTAAAAAAAGGATTTTTCCCTTTGAAGCAATCATGATTTTTAACGTATCACAAACAGCTATTTTATATCTGAAGAAAAATTACAACACATTTAGGCCAACATGTTCATTTAGTTGTGAATCTCTTTCAACTATTGTTATATTTTAGAAAAATAGATATTTTCTTCTATCAAAGGCACAAATGTTCAAAATATTTGAACTCCCTTTTCACCACATTGATGGAACATCCAACCCATTTAATATTTTAACATTTGGATTGAAAGTAGAGATTGTCTTGTTATAACGAAGCATCAGCAAATCCACACAACTAAACAAAAATCAACAAACATGCCTGTGCAAGTTTTCATTTATCCAGGTCACCACAAAACAGACTTCAATTGGAGAGAACTGGACTTTCACTCAGTTTTTCTGAAAATGTTTCGACATCTATCCAGTAGTTTTTGCTTTGTACTAAAGCAACCTGTAGTTTGAACCCTGATATTTTAAAGCAGCTGGAGGTCATCCTCCTGATCCCATCCGAGGCAATAACCCAGTCGTCATTCTCCTGGGTCGTTGGAGTCTATCGTTTTGTATTTGGCCATTTAATTCATGATTAGATGGCTTGTGCACTTTCTTTAAAATTAGTTCCAGAAAAGAGTTATACATGCTTGGGAGCTAAAGCAACATAAAATACTACTACAAAAAACTGAAAATAAAGGGGTTTAATTCACAATTTTTACTCAAAAAGAAGGCACCAGTTATGCATAAACTAGAGGCAGGTGCTAAACAACATCCTAAAATCAACAGAAGCCTAATTACACCAGGAGATGCAAACAAAACCAAAGCCAAGGCCACAACATGTAATCTACAGGAGCAACAGAAGCCCTTGTTACAGTTAACTGTCTCGTCTTATTAATTGGAAGGAGCAAAAAAGATTAGGCAGTTTTTAAATGAGCTGACACATTGGCGACTGCTGTAAATATCCCAAAGGCAAGAGCAGAACACCCTCTACCCTGCAAAAGAAATCTAGAAATAGGTAATAATGTCTTAAATTAATTGTGTTTAACCTTAATTTGAATAGGTAAATAAGATTATTTACCAATGGAATGGCATTTTTTACCTTAAAATAAGATAATTGGACAATATGCATATTTTAATGAGACAATCCAATAGTTTTTTCTTATTTTTAATTTAAATTGCTTTTTACGTTGTGTCTCACTTACCTCCTTAATTCAACAAAAATATTTTATGAAAAAAAATGACTTATTGAGATTTCATTATTTATTTTTTTTTGCAGTGTAAGGCTACGGTGTCCCCAAACAATGTTTGCTTAAACCAGTGGATCTTAGTTCTACTTCACATGATGGGGGGTCAGACATTTTCATTTAGCAATAAACAATGGCCTTTGTATAAGAAACCAGACCCAACCCTCCTCCCTCTCTGATGTGCTTCAGATCTTCCTTCACACCCCTCATCTGTAGATGAGATGATTGCTGACCTGACCTGACTGGCTGCTTGTCAGTCGGGATTTTGTAAAATTTGAGGATCTGGCACTTAAGGCACTTAAACTGGCACTTAAACTGACGTTCTTATCAATCAAACTTTATTTATAGAGAGCATTATACACCAAAACGCTGTACAGGTCCATAAACAGAAATATATAGAAAAAAATAACCAATTAAATGCATTTTTATACTAAAAGTAATACACATTACCAGCATAAAGTAGCAAGTTTTTATCCAATATGACAAAATGTCTCATTTTAAACTAACACACTTTAAGCATGGTGACTTATTTGATAACATTTTGAGAATTTTTCTGTTTTATATTTAATGTTCTGTTGTTTTACATGAAAAACAGCAAAAATTATCAAAGTTAGATTGACCAAATCTCTGTTATGTTGATATTGTAATAAAAACTACAAAGTTAAGCAAACTACTATATTAAGATAATTTTCTTTTTTACCCCAACGCACCTTTAAGTCCACCAATAAAAAAAACAGGCGACATTCCTCTGCCTCATATGAACAGCATTCAAATAAAACTCAAAGTGTTTCAGCATTTCTTTTCTTACCAGAGGCGATGGAAGCGGTGAGGAGTTGTTCTCTGGTGTGTCTGGATGTGACCTCCTTCAGAGCGATGGAGCTCTCAGCATCCACCCCAGCAGCATCCTCTTCCTCACTGACAGCCTCCTCAGCATGCACGCTGTAGTAAACGCTGTGCTCCTCCCCTTCTCCCTCCCTCTCCCATTTAACTGAACCTGTCGGCTCGCATCACGTCGCCACCGAGGCAAAAGAGTTGATGCCACAACTCATGGCAAAGTGAATTAAAAGAGAGGCAGAAAAAAAAAACACTTAGCTGCTTCATTTGAGTTTAATCTTAGAGAACCTGGGGCTGATTCACGATTACATATATATACACATATA